CCTGTATTTTTAATAATTTCTTGACATTTTTTTAAAAATGACCTTTCCCAGGTTTTAGATTTGGAGGGAAGGTCTTAAGCTTAGAACAACTCAGAACAAAATCTAGGAGGGTGGGAGGGACGGCCAAGCCCATAAAGCAGGTGGTGTGGGCACCACTGGTGGGGTCTGGGCTGCCCTCCACCCCCAAATCCGCCCTCCACCTTAGTGTGCATCCCAATATGCAGGAGATGTGATGAGGCCCAGCCTCCTGTATTCAGAACCGGGCTCTGGCCATGTAGAAACGTCTCATTTATACCTCTGGCTACAGCCAGCTGTGCACAAAAGTTTAGGAGTCCTGAAGCCTGTCCTGCCAAGGAGAAAGGGTCCGGCCCTCCATCCCCCCAGTGCCCGCACGCCCACGGCCTCAGGCGTAGAAGATGAGCTCGGGGATCTGCCCGCCCTGCACCCCGGTGCGGTTGGTGCTGTCGGAGGAACACTGGAACTGGAAGGTCACCTTCCCACAATGCACCTCCATCAGGCCCTCCTGCCTGAAGTAGCTGAGCTCGCTGCCGTCCAGCACGGCGCTGGCCGTGTAGAAGGTGTCCTGCTCCACCTGCACCGGGTGCTCGAACCAGACCGGGAAGGTGCTGCTGGAGCCATCGGACACGAACCTGGTCAGGTTCTGGGCGAGGACCACTCCCAGGCGCTTGAGCTCGATCTTCACACTGTACTTGGCTTTCCCGGAGCTGGATCCGTACAGGCCCAGCCCCGCCACAAACACCTTCCTGTCCGCTGCAATCTGGATGCTGTCGCAGCGCCTCCGATAGCGCCACTGGTTGCTGCAGTAGGCCGAGGACTGGAAGCGGTGGCACCTCTGCGGGGCCAGGCCTCCCCTCTTGGTCAGCAGGAAGTCGAGCGGGGGCTTGTTGGCCTTCGTGTACCACAGGATAATGTTGTGGGTCTCCTCCAGCGTCAGGATGTTCGACTGGGCAGCGCCGTTGGCAAACTCCTCCAGGGTCATGGTCGGAATGCGGACCAGGTAGAGGGCCGGCCCCAGGACATGCCTCTTGTTGCGCGGGGTGGTGGGCAGGCCCTGCCGCTTGCACTCGGCCTCAGCCCAGTTGAGCACGGCCTCGAAGACCACCACCTCCTTGGTGTTGAGGGCCTCCGTGTGACGATGACCTCCAGGGTCTGCCAGTCGATCTCGCAGAAGCCCTCGGACCACAGGGCCATCTCCCCCTGCACGTCAATGACCTCCCAGCAGCACTGGGTCAGCTTGGGCTCCTCAAACAGCCGGCTCTGCGACAGCAGGACACAGGCATTCTTGGCTTCCAGGCTCGTCTCCAGGAAGTGTGCGCAGGCTTTCGCCTGCAGCCACCTCTTCCCTGCCCCACCCGGCTTCTCCAATCACCAATCACTGGCGGTGGGGGGAAGGGAAGAGGCAGCTGCCAGCGGCCGCCTCTTCCCTGCCCCGCACAGCTTCTCCAATCACGGGCGGGGGCCGCCTTTGCCCTGCCACCCAGCTCTTGCCTGCCGCCTGGGTTTCCGATCACCTCAGTGGCAGGCAGCTTCTTCTGTCCTTCCCCTTTCTCCTCCCAGCATTGCGCCTACATATGCAAATTAACCGCCATCTTTGTTGGCAGTTAATTTGCATATTGCCCTGATTAGCCAATGGGAAGTGGCGTAGCAAAGGTACGGTGAATTACCATGTTTGTCTATTATTAGATAGGATGCCTCCATTTCCTAATAGAAAGAATAGGCATTATATTTTTTATATAGTAGATTATCTCAGTTTCCTTTGCACTTTGAATCCCTGTGAGTCAGTAACTTTTGCAGCATTATGCAAAGTGGCTTAAGAATTTTTTTTTAAATGTTAACATTTTCTGCCTTGAATGAATTTAAACCTGGCATTTAAAAACTTTTATAAACCAACATATAAAGAATAATCTAATATAATGCAAATTGAGTACCTGAGCACTGAGGGGAAGAAAATTGGAGCTATCATCTGAACATCCTAGCACCAGTAGTTCTAAACCTAGAAGGCTTAAAAAGCAACAGTGGAACTTGTTAAAATACTGATTTCAAGCTCTACCTCCAGAGATTCCAATTTAATAAGCCTGTGATGGGACCCAGGATTATTATTAGATTCATAATCAGAGGAAGAACATAATGTCTCTTTTTCTTTTCCTAGAAAGTAAAATACAAAATAATGCTTGACATGCAAAGATATGGCATGCCCTATTTCATCTTAATCTCCTCACCAGACAAATGGGGAGGAGAAGGTAAGACAATCCATGAAGGCTCTGTTAGCTCTATGAGGCATCTATTTGTACAAGGACAGGCTCTGTGCATCACACAGACATAGTTAAAATGTACCAAAGATCTGCAATATCTAAAGTTTCCACCTCTTTTTATCATGGATAAATCTTCATTTAAAGTATGGTAACATAACATTACTAACACCATTAAATGTTGTGTCATCATCACAAATAGATTAAAAATCTACCAGGTAACCAGAAAATATTTGCAAACAATATGACATTAAAAGTCAGTATGATTAATATAGAGAAAGCATTTATAAATCAATAAGGAAAAGCATTCATACTTTAATAAAGATGAGAAAAGAATATGAGACAATTTATAGTACAAGAAATATAATTGGCTCAAAAAAACCTATGGAGAACACTCAACTTCACTAATACTTAAAAGAAAGTTAAAGCAACAAAGATTTCAATTAGCAAAGTTTTTTTGTAATGATAAGAACTCTACTAAAGAAGAGTTCCTGGGGTTAGTTTTTTAAATTTTCTAAAAAATATTTTGTAATACATATTAAGAATTCAGACCATTTTAGTTAGCAGTTCTTATCTAAAAGAAAATTCCAAGAAAATAGTAAGAAATTAAAATTAGACTTATTTTTTAATGCTCATTATAAAATGATTATAAGAACAATAAGTTAAAAAAATCTACACATAAAAATTGAGAAGATGATTACAAAAATCATGGCCTATTTATATTGTGGAAATAGTATATAGCTATTATAATTATGTTTGTTTTTGAATAAATTTAAATAATATGAGAAAATGATCATTATGAAACATTTATTTTTGCATATATCTATGTGTGTATATAACTGAAAAAAATGCATCAAAATCTTGAGTGTTGTTTCTGAGTATGGTATTATGGGTAATTTCAATTTTTCCTATTATAATTTTGTATACTTTCTAAATACTCTACAATGCATTTGTGTTCCTTTCATAGTGAGGGCTTAAAAAAGCAATATTATAACATATCTAAGGTTAATAGGACAGAATCTATTCCCCAAATAATTAAACATTTTTATTTTGAACCAAAAGCAATTGAAAAGCAATTTACATCTACACAATGGAATACTACACTGCAGTAAAAAAGAAGGAATTCTTACCATTTGCAACAGCATGGATGGAACTGGAGAGCATTATGCTAAGGGAAATAAGCCAGTCAGAGAAAGATAAGTATCACATGATCTCACTCATTTGTGGAATATAATGAACAACATAAACTGATGAACAAAAACAGATCCAGAGACAGAGAAGCATCGATCAGACCTTCAAACCTCAGAGGGAAGGTAGGGGAGGGTGGGAGTAAGAGGGGAGAGATCAACCAAAGGACTTGTATGCATGCAGATAAGCCTAGACACAGACAACAGCGGGGTGAGAGCATGAGTGGGGGATGGGGGGGGAGAAATGGGGCGATGAGGACACATATGTAATACCTTAATCAATAAAGAAAAAAAAGGTTAAAAAAAATAAAAGCAATTGTTCACATGTATATATAATTGGAACAAGGACTAAATCAAGTCCCCATATCATTAATAGAAGTGATGTAATCATTGTGAAGACATCCATGCACTGTCAATGTTTACGGATTCAGGAGAACCTCAAGCCACAATTGTTTAAAGTTTTCTTAAGAACTGAGGAACAATTAATATAAAAAAAAAATTGGAGGCCACCAAAAGAGAGAATTCAATGCCAACTTGATTCACAAAACTGTCTCTTGTGGCCTAGATGGACCCTAGAACAGGAAGCAGAGAGAATAAACATCTCTGTGATACTTAAAAACCTACTCGGAAAATCAAGAATTTAATAGACTTAACAGTGGTTCTCAACCTGTTAAATACAGTTTAAATACAGTTCCTCATGTTGTGACCCCAACCATAAAATTATTTTCATTGCTACTTCATAACTGTAATGTTGCTACTGTTATGAATCATAATGTAAATATCTGATATGCAGGATGGTCTTAGGCGACCCCTGTGAAAGGGCCGTTCGACCGCCAAAGGGGTCGAGACCCACAGGTTGGAGAACTGCTGACTTAGAATTTGCAAGCAGAGAAGATATGGAAAGACTCTACTACTGGTTCCTTAACCCAGCTATATATCCGGATCACCTGTGGAACTTAACGATCCTGACCCCATCCCCAGAGATTCAGAAGACTATGGTAAGGTTCAAAAATGTATATATTAAACATCTGTCCCAGGTGGTTCTAATGACGTCCAAGTTTAGGGACACCCATCTGAGAACCACTAATCTAATACCAACCAGACAATTTAAACCCAAGGATCAATTACCTAATAAGTTAACAAGCAAGAAAGCCTTTGGATGCCTTGCTATGTGTGACCTAAATCAGGGGTGGAGAACCTTTTTTCTGCCAAGAGCCATTCGGATATTTATAACATCATTCGCTTAATATAATTCACTTATTATAAATTTATGTTGCTATGAAAAAAGCTCCTAGATTTATTGAATTTCGAGTCTCGTTTGCAGTAGCCTTGGCAGGGCCAAATGATCTCTCTGGCCTTATACGGCCTGCCCGTGGGCCGGACGTTCCCCACCTCTGACCTTAATGATAACAGAAAGGAACAGTTGCTAAGAGTAATATTCTCTCTTAAACATGAACTGTAACTAGTTTGAGAGGACAAGGAGGAGCAAGGAAGTGGGAGGAGGAAAACTTTTGTTAGTATTGTGCCAAGTCTTTTATGTGGACAAGTATTTCTCTATATAAATCGGCCAGGAACTTGTGTGGCTCTTGCAAAAGTCCTGAATGTCAGAATGTTTCTTATGATAACTTAGATAATTCAGAACCCAGCTTGAAAACTAAATAGCCTCATATGGTGAGCCTTTTTACCAGTTCATATTTTTCCATTATCTTTTTTAAAGATCAACTCACCAAAAAGTCCATTTTCTGTGTGATGTTACAGCTATTCAAATAAAACAAACATTAACTCTTTATCTAGCTCTTTTATCCTGAGATGGTTTCACTAGCTAAGGCTTCAAAATGGAAAGTTATTAAGAGAAGAAATTATATAGCAATGTCATATGAACTTTCACATCTCCAAGCAAAGGGATACTCCCTTTTTACTAGGCACCTCCCAAGTGACAAGCACATTCCTCATTTTTCAGATCAATAAATAAAAAGAATGAAAATCAGATTAAATATTTTGTTCAAGGCCACAAAACCAGAAAGTGGCTAAATGGGAATTCAAATCTAGGACAAACTTGTAAGTTTGGGTTCTTTCTACTTCCCCATAGTGCCTCCTTCATAACTAAAAATGTCTTTGGCAAAAAAAGAATATTTGAATGAAAGGGCCAAAATATAGAAGTTACTCTATATGCTAAGTTTTTCTGTACCTTATCAACAACTATACTGTACTTGTTGATTCACTATGTTCTTGCCCCCGAGAAATAAAAAATATATTCTGCATCAGATCTTTAAAAGTCATTATTATATAATCTATGGGGAGATATTACAAATCTAAAATTACCTCCTTGGTATTTTACTCCTTGAGTGACAATCTAAATTGTGCACTTGTTCTTTTTAAATGGCCACTGATTACAGGACTGGAAAGGGTTTGTTATATCAGAGTTGTCTAATTTTTTGAAATTTCCCTGTGGGTCACTGTATTCTCGAATATGGTACAACCTTTCCCAGAGGACTGAGCTAAAATTACAATAGAAGCTACAACCGGAGTCTTATCATTTGCCAATAGAGCTACCTGGGAAATTTTCCTTTTGAAAATCAATCTGGTTTGGAAAAAGAAGAGAAAAAAATAGGTGAACAAGAAGAGAGAAAAGCAGGTTGTAACCAAGAAAGTATGAAATGAAGACAGTTAGAATGTGTGTTGTCCTATCAGCCTATTGCCTCCATCCAATTTAAAGAAGCTGCCTGTTCTAATTAAAATGTAGAATTAGTATGAAAACAATGATATCATCAGGGAGACAAATTTCTAACACATAGAATTATTATTTACAATTATTAGCCCCATTATCATCATCACCATATTCATAAAATATCTAAGTTCTAGAGAGGCTTTCAAAAGCATATTCCTTTGAAACATCAAGAGTCACTC